GTACAAACGTTTTCTGTGTTTGGAAAAGCGTTTATTGAAGGACCCAGAACTTAAGGTCGCATACTCGAAGGTTATATCGCATATTCACATCATAAATGAGTATGTAAGTTCCGGTCATATAGAAGTAGTGAGTTCTAACGAACTTGCGAAGAAAGCAGTATACCTCCCACATCACGCCGTAGTACGTCATGACAAGACCACAACAAAGGTGCGTATGGTTGTGGACGCATCTTGTACAGACTCAAACGGGGTATCCCTTAACAACGAGTTAATGGTAGGCCCCGCACTTCAACCGGAACTTCGTCATATTGTTATGCGATGGCGATGCTACCCTATCGCTCTAGTAGCTGACATCGTCAAGATGTACCGGCAAATAAGAGTAGCTGATGAGGACTTAGATTTTCAGCGCATATTTTGGCGCGAAAGTCCAGATGCTGAACTTCAGCATCTTCGCTTTTTGCGAGTTACCTTTGGCACTTCATCGGCACCCTATTTGGCAGTTCGATGTCTTCAACAAATAGCCCGTGACGAAGGTTCCAAATTTCCGTTAGCAGCGCCGAAAGTGCTACACGAATTTTATATGGACGACCTGATGTCAGGTTGCTATACGGTAGCCGAAGGCGTTCAGATCTCTGACCAGATGACTGCTTTATTGAATTGTGGTGGATTTCCACTTCAAAAATGGTCTAGTAATTACATGGACTTATTGAACGAAATTCAGACTGATACCAGGGAATCAAATCATTCCCTTGAAAACAGACGAAGTGATCAAAATTCTCGGCCTGAAATGGAACAGAGACACAGACGAATTTCAGTGTACTGTCGACCTCCCACCGCTTCAATCTTTGGTTACGAAGCGTATAATGATCTCTGACATTGCTCGCCTCTTTGATCCGTTAGGTTGGTTGGCACCAGCTATCACCACTGCGAAGATCTTTATACAGAAGGCGTGGCTATCTGGAATCAACTGGGATCAGGAACTACCGCCATCCCTACTTAAGGCATGGGTAGAATTCCGCAGTGGGTTGCCTAAATTAGCTGAGATGCGATTTCCTCGATGGATTTATTCGCAGCAAAACAATCAGGCCTGCGAGTTGCATGGATTCTCAGAAGCATCTAATGCGGCATATGCAGCAGTAGTATATACGCGGATAGTGGACGCTCAGGGAAGGGTTCACCTAAACCTGATCACTTCGAAAACGAGAGTCGCCCCGATAAAACAGATCACAATCCCTCGCCTAGAACTCTGCGGTGCGGTGTTGCTAGCGAAACTTTTGAACGAAGTATCGGATGTACTAAAAATACCTAAGGAACGACTAAACGCTTGGTCCGATTCCTCAATAGTTCTTGCTTGGCTCAGCAGCCATCCAAGTCGATGGAAAACATTCATCGCAAACAGGGTTTCTGAGATACTTTCAGTTTTGGATGCTGACCAATGGTCACATGTAGCCTCAAAGGAGAACCCAGCAGACCCTGCATCGCGAGGATTAATGCCATCAGAATTTGTTACAAACCAGCTTTGGCGTCAAGGCCCTGATTGGTTACGGTTCGACGTAATAAATTACGACCGGAATATAACCGACATAAATCTAGAAGAAAGGAAACCAAAAATTAAGAGCTACATGACTACAGCAAATGATGAAGAAGACAATTTGCTATCGAAATATTCCTCCCTGAAAAAACTTACCCGGGTCGTATCTTTCTGCCGGAGAGTCTTATGCTGGAAGGAACCTGAAAAAGAAAGGAAAAAGATTAATACACAATTAACAGCAAAAGAAATCAACGAGTCGTTACTTTCCTGTATCAAGATGTGTCAGCGACGAAGTTTTAGCGAAGTCATCGGAGACCTAGAAAGGAAAGGAAAGTTGGGAAAAAAAGTAAACTCACCTCGTTTAATCCCTTTTTGGACACTTACCAAATTCTTAGAGTTGGTGGAAGACTACAGAGGGCAAACGTCGATCAAGATACGAGACATCCCATCATTCTTCCCCACAAGTTACCCCTCACAAATTTGATTGACGAGGCTCACTCTAAAACGATGCATGGAGGGCCTCAAATCATGCTCAATTATCTTAAGAGTAGATATTGGATAATTGGCGCTAAAAGTCTCGTGCGTCAATTTATTCGCAGTTGCATTCGCTATTCGGCACAAACAAGCCAGCAGATGATGGGTCAGCTACCATCATCACGAGTTACCGCACACAGACCTTTCCACAACAGTGGAGTAGATTACGCGGGTCCAATTCACGTCAGGACTACAAAGGGTCGTGGTTATCGCTCAACAAAAGGCTACATATGCTTATTTGTGTGCATGGCAATAAAAGCCATACACCTCGAGGTGGTCAGCGACATGACTGCACAGAGCTTCTTGGCTGCGTTCAAAAGATTTGTCGCTCGAAGAGGCCATGTCTCTGACCTGTGGAGCGATAACGACACTACCTTTGTAGGCAGTTCTAAGGAACTTACAAAATTGTTTTCCGCAGAAAGATCCATTGTCGTGACAGAAATACAGGACTGGATGGCCTCAAATGGTACTTATTGGCACTTTATACCTCCCCACTCTCCAAACTTTGAAGGGTTGTGGGAGGCAGGTATTAAATCTGTTAAATACCATCTAAAACGAGTAATTGGAGATAGCACCCTTACTTTTGAAGAGCTGACTACCACGCTATCTCAAATTGAGGCATGCCTTAACTCGAGACCCATTTGTCAGGTATCGAACAACCCTGATGATACAAAATCCCCTTACTCCGGGTCACTTTTTAGTAGGCGAACCCCTTGTCCTCGTACCAGATATGAATTACGAAAATTCAAACATTAGTACCCTGAGTAGATGGAATTTAACACAACGCATGGTCCAGAACTTCTGGCGTAGATGGTCCCAAGAGTACCTAACTCAGCTCCACCATCGTTATAAATGGTCTTACCAAGTTCCTGAACCAGACGTGGGAAGTGTAGTATTGGTCAAGGAAAGATGATCTTCCACCAGCTAGGGGCTACTAGGTATCATCGCTGATAAACACACAGGGTTGGACGGTCTCAGGCGCGTAGTAAGCTTAAAATATAAGGGCAACATCATAAAACGACCAGTATCTAAATTAGTATTCCTACCTAAAGATTGTGATTAAATTAAGATTGATTTTAAATTTTTGTTTATCCTATTTCAAAAGAAAGCTTACATGTAAAATCACTATATTGTTATGTGACAATTCAATCATAGACTTAGTATTCATTTATTGTTATTTTCTATTGAATTTTTAGTTTTTATTTTACGTTAATTTGAAATTAGAGTCTAATTTACTAGCCTTTGTTTATAATATAAGTTTCTTAAAAACCTGTAAAAATTGTAAATTATGGACTTAGTCCATGGCGGCCGGAATGTTAAGACCCGATTAATTATTATTTTCATAACCACGAACAATGTTCGTGTTATGTAAGTTCAAAGCAACGGCGCTAGATAGCGTATTAAAATTTCTGTATATGATATATTGATTTTTCTGTACTACATGTAGTCTGGGCGAATAAAATTGGTGGGTCCTATTCTCACCATTGAGTATTGTGTTTTATTCAATTTTTGGGACATTGTTCAAAGACTTTGATAAGATTAAGATGGAAATCCTCCTTTCCAGAGAAAAGGAGGTTTTCCATCTAAGTATTTTTTTTCTTTCCATAAGCATAGTACCATACTAAACACTGTAACATTGTGCTGCCTTTTTCCGCAGGTATTGTGTGAGAGCGCGGTTCTTCCCCGGTCGAGTCGACCCATTCGTACTTCAATCTGTAGCTTAGCGTAAAGTATACCACGTAAAAGTTGTTATAATAAATATGCTTTTTTCTTAGGTCAAAATATCTTTTAATTAAAGTTGCTAAAACTGTGGATTGACCTTCAAAAATTAATTATTAGGCTGTTGATGTCCAGTTGTTATGAGCAAAATAGTAAAACCCTCTTTTCTAAGCCTAAATGAGAATTTTCCAATTAATTACCGGATGGTCGCTCGCCTCGGTAAAAAGTAAACAGCTTAATCAACAAATGCTCTCTATAATGTTGAGGATTTTTTTAGATTTTCAAATCAACGGTTAATGATTCTATTTTCTTTATAATGAAAAAATATTTATGCGAATGATTAAAAAATAGGAGACTCGTGTTTTGTTGAATTAAACTGAAGTGGGAAACAAGTTTAAGGCCAACCGATTGCAAGTGGCTACTGTAGTTCATATACACTTACTGTTGAGAATGTTAATAATTAGTATATGTTGTGTGTGTCACGGGATTTAGGCAAAATAAAGTGCTCCTTCCTTTCTTTCAGATATGATTTAAGGATATTATCTTCATCTAATGTTTGGTGAAGTAAAATAATACAAAACCCCATTTCGTACCGTGCGTCTTATAAGAGGCAACTACATCAAATATAAAAATATTACCCTCATCATTACCCGTTCACAAGCCCACTGCTGAACATATGCCTCCCCCAAAGATTGCCACAAAGCACGGTCTTGAGTCTCCTGCATCCATCGACTTCCAGATCATCATCGTCCGCCCACTAAATGGAGCGCTGATCTGCTAAGACATGCAAATATATCTTTTGGATGCCAATAAATGTAGTTTAAACCATCTCGTTTCCGCCAGACGTAAAATCCAGTGATGAGTAGCAGGTTCAAAGAGACGAGACGTCTTGCGATCGTCAAAGCCACGTGCTAAGCGACACAGATAAATCTCCCCACAAAGGGATATAAAATAGAAATGGAAGGCACAGCGACACTGGTAGTCAGGGTTGCCAGATCATATTTTCGAAAATACTGTGTTGTCCACATTAAATTGCGGTGTTTGAGAGAAAAATACAGTGTTTTATGAAAAAAAAATACAGTGTATTTTACAGTGTAATTAAAATAAATGACGTATTAAAAGGAAATAATTTTTAATGAACCAAAATATGCATTTAATTTAAGTATACTATACTTAAAATAACTAAATACCTTAGTATTTTAATACACAAAGTAGTTTAATCACTGTTACTGTCGATTGCCTCCCATTTTTTGTAAATTTCAGAGTTAAAAGGTTTTAGCATCTTGTCAGTTGGCAGAAAATTTACACAGTTGCCGTCATGACGACAAATGGCCTGTTTTGCCAACATGTTGCCCTTAATTGTTTCTGTAATTAATCTATTTCTGTTCTTAGTTTTTGTGTCATTTATTTGGCTGAACACCCTTTCACACTCGGCGTTAGAATTTGGAAGAGCCAAAATGTTCAGCATAAACTGGGCAACCAAACTGAATTCTTCAAACTGCTTTACCTAAAATGCAAATATATTACAAATAAGAAAAAATATATAGAAAGTCCAAAACGTTTTTTACCTTGTGCCAAAATATATCGGGTTGTTGGCTTGTATCCAAATCTTTCTTCAGTTTCGGCAATTTTCGCCACTGATCTATTTGTTGTTGCTCTGCTAAAGAAGTTGGTGTCAATCTTGGCAGTAAGTTAAAAAGTACATGAAGAGATTCGTCTCGCCGTGAGTGATCCAAACAACTTTCAGGATCCAATTTGGAAATCGAACTCAGGACAGGATCATTGAGTGCATATCTTTTGCGGGTTCCTACGCAAGTTTGTATCAAGAAATTTCAGCAATTTTTCTTTATTACCTTTTTTTTCTCACACGGTATTTCATTTGTCAAAAGTTGATTCTGAACGGATCCAAGTCCGAGATACATTTCATCCGAACTTTTAAAATATTTTTCGTCTGTTGGGTCAATTTTGTCCCGATCACTTTCCATGATGTGAGTTTTTTGTACATAAGTCGTTATCAGTTTGTTATACAGATCGTTCATTTTTGTGTGTACTTTTGTAATCATAGGAGTTTCACTCTGAAATAGTGTGTTAGCTTGAGTATAGTTAATTAAAAATAATTGAATATATAATTTCGGCAACATCCAATTCAAGAAGAAAAAATAAGCCTTTGTAGCAGGATCATTCAACTGCTTATGGATTTCAAAACATTTGTTATCTTCAAGCCATCTTCCGTTAAAAAATAACGAAAGTGCACTCCATTTCTCCAAAATCCTTTCCACTACTGAACTCAAAGACAGTCATCTCGTTTGAGCCGGTTTTAAAATTTTGTGTACTTCAATTTCGGTGAAAATTTGAAATTCTTTTAGCTGCGATTGTCTTTTACTACTGGTCGAAAAATAATTGTATATATCTCGAGTAAGTTTTTCACAATCGACAGGCAACTGTTTGCATGCATCGCTTGCACAAAGATGCAACGAATGACAAATTTACGGGTCTTTTGGATCACGTTGAAGCCAAGTCTTAAAGTTCGTGTCACTAAGCAATTCATCTCTAAATTTTTGTTTATTATGTTGTTTTTTTTATTTTTTAGGAGTTGATGGACCACTCTCACTTTCTGTAGAACTATCTCTTGCGCGAGACATAATTTCCACAAAAAATATCACGATTTACACTTAAAACTTAATTTAAATCACATCAGAAAATATTTAAGCGTAATATTTTAGAACTAAATACTAAGACGATATACCGGACAATATAGATGACACATCAATAACATTAAAACAACACTATGGCATATCCAACCTCTATCTATGATACCTACTCTTTTGTGTTGTTCGGCGGACGTATTCGTCGCATTCATAATTTACGATATTTTTCATAAGTAGCGTTCATTATAAAACGAAATTTTGTTATTGGTTGAAAAAAATACTGTGTCTCCATACACTGTATTTATAAATATACGGTGTCTAGTAGACGGCGTTAAAATACGGTAGATCTACTGTAATTACAGTGTATCTAGCAGCGTTGCTGGTAGTGTCAGTCACTGCATAGTCTATTTCACTTGAAGATCCCTCGTGTAGAAGCGAAACAAGTGCGGCATTATCGACGGTCGTGTGTTTTTCGTAGTGTGGTGGTGTAGGGAGCAGTGCATGACATTTAGGGAGGTCGAGAGGTGCTCTTCAAAGTTAACACACATCATTTTATTTCATTAAGCGGATATAAGCAAAGTATTTTTTACCAATTATATATACCAATATATATATATATATATATATATATATATATATATATATATATATATATATATGTATATAGTATTTTGTTCCATTTTTAGTTTGTTATACTGTAATAAACTAAATTGTCACTCAGTTTCTGATGTTGACATGACTTAATTTATTTTTCTGTCGTAATAAAATTGCACAAAAAATTCAATATAAATGAATGACGGTAATGGTATACTACAGGTACATGTGTGATAAAATAAAAATCGATTAATAGATTAAAAAGAAATTCGACCAGTTTAGAAGAAACAAGAACAACCATTATACTTGTACTAAATACATAATATGACAATTTTTTAAAAAGTGCGTCGGTATACAATATTTTAGGCATATCTTGTTGGCAAAATAATGATTTGTTAAAAAATATGAAATTTACGCGTACGTATTAGAGAAGTCTTATAAACATTTAATTTATATCATCCAGAAAACGAATTATAAACATATTTTTTTTAGGTTTTCGAGGCTCATAAAGATGTTCACCCCCTGAACTTTGGAGAGTAGATGAACAAAGATTGTATAAAAGTGCTATTTATGATATGATGATTATATCCTTGTGTAATGAAGCGATCGCTACTAAGCTATATCTAATTTGTTTTGTGCAAATTATTGTGTTACTATGATTGTAGTCTGTTCTTTTTTTAAATGTCCCGTTTAATTTCTTGTCGGTAACATTAGTATATTACTGTTTAATCATTGTCTGTGCAAAAACAAAACCTTTTTTCTCTCTTTCAACAATTTTTATTTTATGTAACAATTTTTTTATGTTCAATTAAAAATTTAAAAACTTTGAATAATTCCTCCAACAACACCATTAACGAAAGTAAAATAAATTTACGAACAAAATAATTAAGGCAATTGTTTACACAGTCGAAGCCCTTTTTAATTAGCGCAGCGTTCAAAGGGATTTTTATATCTAAAGGTTTGCCTCCCTCCTTTTTGTTACACAATAAGCTGAACAATAGAGATAAGACTCGTGAAGAAAAATACTGAAAAGTACGCCGGCGGTGTGAACATCTGTTTTGAATTAATTAATTATAGAGCTTACATTTATAAGCAGTAGGGATATTTTTCCAAAAAACCCACTATGAGGTAAATCTGTCATAATTGCTTAATAAGAAAAACGCGTAAGAAATCCACTTCTTTTCATGTGTTGTTAGAGGCGACTACTTGAAATGCATTTATAGTTTTTTTTAATAAAAATAATGATTTCTTATATTTACGCGAACACTACAAATTGGTTAAAACTACTTTTACGGATTTTATCGCGTTTAATTTGAATTCTTTTTAATTCCCGACGTTTCGGGTGCTTTCCAGCATCCATAGTCATGGGGGACTGAGTTGACTGACGTCCCGATGTCATTGTTAATCCCGGAGTACCTTCAGCTTTTTTAATTATTTATTGCATATATCGAACCATAAACAATAATTAAAAAAGCTGAAGGTACCCCGGGTTTAACAATGACATCGGGATTAGTCCCCCGATACGTCGGGAATTAAAAAGAATTCAAATTAAACGCGATAAAATCCGTAAAGATAGTTTTAATCAATGAACAAATTAAGTTAAATTCCATCTAATGGTTCATCAAAGTATTATTATTACTGCGATTGTTAATCCGCCATCCAAGTGTGACGGTTATAGCAAATGAATGCCATTATTGAGCAGTGGAGTTTTACGAGATGATCAAGATGATACTAAAATATAGCTAATGATGAGTCGCCACTGATATAGCAGAAGCATAAGTTACAATTTTGTAAAAAAGAAATAATATCCATTCCGCTCCATTAATAACAGCATGTAATTATATACTTACTTTCCATCTCACTTGAAACTGGAACACAACAGTGTATGCACTGAATACAGAAATAGGTAAAAGAGTGGTGTTTATACATATTATGTACTCCTAGGCAAATATTGCGACTGTCACGAGATGGTAAATATCTTTTTTTATATACCTATAAGGGGGCAAACGAGCATGCAGCTCACCTGATGGCTAGTGACTGTCGTTGCACATAAACAAGGGATAGCAGGTGCAACCGGCCTTTTGAAAAAAGTAGGTTATTTTCTTGTAGGTCCCTAAGTCGCAACGGTCCGAAAAAATTCTCACTCTTTCTAACATACCGTCCTTTGTGTATTACTTATGCTATAAAGTTGTAGTTTTGTTTATAGAATAAGAGCGATAAACAAGCACACGGTTCACCTTATGGTAAATGGATACTGTACCCATACTGTCTTATTAATAAAAATTGCTTATTCCAACCTTAATTCGAAGTTATACTTGGACTAGTTAATCTCAGAGTAACTAAGTATTAACTCCGTTATTACAATGTTATTAATAAAAATGGAGTAACCTCGGACTAGCTATACATTCCTACGCCGGGATTAACGCGTGCGCTATGGCAACCCACTTATTTTAAAAGTAAAAAGTGTGAGTCAGTGAATGATTGGTGAATGAACTCAATGTTTGATGATGACATTAATGACAGTGACAGGCAATATTTTGAGTTTGCTGTTCCTCGTGTTGTTTTCGGACTCGGCGGAAAAACTAAGTTGGTTCCTAAATATAATCACTTTTAATATTATTTTCGACTCAAAATGGATCAAAAACGCATTCGCTCTCAAAATTGGGATGAAGAAGAAAAGGTAATTTCAGTCAATAGTTTTCTTTAATGTACTATTTATCGTTGTACCGTAGTCTTTATTAATATTCTTTTACTGTTTCAGCTTTTATTTCGCTCTGTGCTTAGAGAATATGCGGACGTTATTGAAAATAAATATCTAGATACGAATACAATTAATATAAAAACAAAAGCGTGGGAAGAGGTTCACAAAAAGTAAGATAATTAGTTTTCTGTATTGAATAAAATTATTATTACGGATTTTAGTGAACATGTTCAAGATTATCCCCACCATTTCATGTATCTGATTTGATAAACTACAAATCCTCGCAAAAAAATATGGGTTCCTACCAAGGATGATAGGCAAGGCTATTGAAATTAGTAAACATCCTAATTTCAATAGAGAAGATGGATGGCTGTTGCTATCTGCTTGGGATCCTATAATTAACAAAATTAAACCCAAACCCAAGCATACCACTGCAAGACTTCAAGATACTGTAAGTTCGTTTTGCATAGATCGGACAAAAAAATTAATATTCAAAAACTGAAGGTAGCTGGGCTAACTATAACATTGGAACATCAAACATCTCAGTCCCCCCGTGACCATGGGTGCTGTAAAGCACCCAAAACGTCCAGAATTAAATTTTTACAATACCTTACAGGTATCTCAAGATGCGATTGGGGCCACTCCAATGAACAAAAATATGGGCATGACTTCAGCAAAGAAGGTGTGTAATTTATTGAGAGGCACTTTAATTTTGAGTTTTATGATGAATGATTGTTTATTTTCCAATGAAAAATCATTGAAAACTTTTTTACAAACCCAATTCTTATTATTTTTGCAGGTGCCCAAACGAAAACTCATATCAAATAATAAAAAGGTAATATTTATGCTGCTAGTTTTGTTTAACTTGCTCTGTTTATCTATCAACATATAATCTTATTTATTACACTGGTTGTCTTTTACAGAACCATGATGATTATGTTAATAACATGCTAAGCCATAGCAAAAAGGCTAAAAGAAGAAGAGCACAGGAGACGTCTAGAAATGGGTGAAGAGGAACATGCAATAAAAATTGAAATACACAAAGAAAAACTAAAATGTGCCATACTCGAAAGAAAAATTTTAGAGTTAAGAAAAGTGCGTGAAGAGCAAAATTAATTGGATAACCATTTTTGTTTTGTTTTTTGGGTATAAATAAAATCTTTTGTACATGTAAATATTGTATATTTATTTTAAAAGTTTTCATTAATAAATGCTGCCCGTACAGAATTTCCTCTTAGGGAGTTATTTATTGATTGTGTGACTGGTATATTTCCATCATCTCCTACTACTATATCCTCAAGCAGATCTTGCTTTTGCATTGCAATTTTGTGCAGTATTGCCAATGCAACAATATATAGTTTTGTATGCTTTAATTTGGTGTTTAGTCCTCGCAGTAAACACAGAAACCTTTGCTTCCACACTCCGAAGCATCGTTCTACAGTGTTTCGGGTCCTGATATGTGACCGGTTATACATTTCTTCCTTTTCTGTATTAGGACGCAGGATATGTGTAAACAAATAAGGAGTACAAGCATAACCAGAATCTCCGAGAAGTATGCCTTTAAATTCTGCCTGCTCCAACCTTTGTTTTATGCGACTTTTGCCAAAAATTCTTGAGTCATGTGTGCTGCCTCGCCAATGTACCACTATATCCATGATTTCCAAATTAGAATTTGACACAACCTGGAACAAAACACTCATAGCTTCTTTAATATGAAATAAAGATAGTGATGATTGTACTGAATCTAAGAAAAATAACTTTAAGTACATATATGGCAAAAATGGGTTAGTTAGGCGCTATAAAACTTACTTGTACATTTATTGAGCTGTATCCTTTCCTGTTAATATAGTACTGTCCGATATTTCCACCGACTTTCGGGATTCGAATATGTGTGCAAACAATAGCGCCTATCACTTGTCTTAAATCCACATATTGAATAAAAGCCTGCAATCACATTGTTCTACTCCACATCACTTCTTGGCATATTAATCCATTGGGCTCTTTTTGTTACTAGTGCTAAAGCAACTTGTTTGCATACAAGTGATATTGTTGGCTGACTCATTCCACTTAGATCCCCTGCATCATCTTGAATCTGTTGAAAACAAAAATAATTGAATTAGAAATCATAACAACTAATAACTATGTACTTAATTCTTAAAACTATTGATAAAGAAAGATGTTAATGTAAATGAAATCGATAGTAAGTAGGTGCATAGTTATAATTACCTCTCCGCTGGCCCATGTTCTTATTGCAGTCAAAACTTTCAGATAGGGTGGAATAAATCCACCTCTTGAATCACCAGCTAAATCATTTTTACCATATCAATAAGGAAAACGGCAGTAGTTCGGGAAAATCTGTATTTAATTATAAATTCGGCTTCTTGAAGTTCTTCCAATGGATTCTTACGAATTTTATAAAATTTTACACGTCTCATCAATGGAATCTGATTAACAACTTCATTAATTTCATCTATGACTCTCATATCATCAATCAAATAATCTCTATTCATCTTAATGTTGTTAAAAATGAACTAAATTAACAAACAATATCCGAACTTAGAACTTATGAATTAAACACGTGTAACAACTAACAACACAACGCGCGTAAACGTATAGTCGTAGATTACTGACTATGTACTAGAGACGTATAGTATAGTTTTATTTTACAAAATGTCAAAATACGCGACTAGTATATGCTTACTCAGTCGTTAAACTAGGTACCGCCAAGGATTAACTTTTATTCCGAGAGTAGATTCGGATTAGTTTACTCCCTCCTTACTCTATGTTTATTAATACTGAAATTAGATAATATATATATATAATAGGAGTAAAGTTAATCTTGCTCAAGTCTGTGTTTATTAATAAGGCTGATAGACATTTACATCCATCCTCGATTAAAGTTCTACAAACTCAACCTTCAGTTGCTCAATGCTGGATGAAAACACATTCGGTGCTCAAATTGCTACTTATTTTTGCAAGTGAAGAATCTCCAACGTGCAACTTAAACAAGAGGAGCGCTTATGAAGTCTTTGCTTAAACTGGAGCTGAAATTTGCTATCTAGCTTTACGTATGCATGACTTTGGGTACCAGGATTGGACGACGGCACCAGGCAGATATTGTAAGGGCCACTAGTTTGTGGCTGTTAAAGGAGATTATTTTGATTCCTTAAAGTTCCAAAAAAAAAAACAAAAGGATACAATTCAAATAGAAATAGAAGTTTTTCTATTCAAATTAGATTACAAATAATACGTAGTGAAAGTCACGCTCATGTATAATTTACTACTGGTTCGAAAATACCACTGTTTTGGAAGGAACCAGTAAGAAATTAAACGGGACATTTAAAAAAAGAACAGTCTACAATCATAGTAACACAATAATTTACACAAAACAAATTAGATATAGCTTAGTAGCGATCGCTTCATTACACAGGAATATAATAATCATCACCAAGCGTGGCAACTATAGCAATATACCCCCCATGAACAATTACAGAAATAGACGGCCCCCAGGCCCCGGCGGCCCCGCTATTCATGGCTACGGTGGCGACCATGGTAACGGCGGGGCAGGGGGTGCTAAGAATCTCCAGTGGAGGTTCGGTTGCCACCTACGACGACTCGACCTGGCAATATTTAACGCACGCACCCTGAGGACTGACAAGAAGATCCTGGAGCTGGAAGAAGAGATAAACAAGTTGCGCTGGAATATTATAGGATTATCCGAGGTCCGAAGAGAGGGGGAGGACACGGTGATTCTCGAATCCGGCAACTTTTTCTATCACCGGGGGGCGACCATCTGTCCCAAGGAGGTGTCGGATTTATCGTCCACAAGTATTTCGTCAACAACGTTGTAAAGATTGGGAGTGTGTCGACGAGGGTCGCGTACCTGATACTCAGAATCACCAAACGGCATTCGCTGAAGGTCATACAGGTTTACGCACCAACCTCGGCACATCCCGATGAGGAGGTGGAGGAAATGTATGAGGATATTTCCAAAGCCATGAATTCCTCCAAAACCCACTACATGGTTTTGATGGGAGACTTCAACGCAAAACTAGGCACAAGAGAAAACGGTGAGCTGAAGTTAGGGAAATTTGAAGTAGGGCAACGGAATCGAAGGGCCCAGCAGCTGGCCGAATTTATGGAGAAAGATGGACTCTTTATGATGAACTCTTTCTTCCAGAAGCGGCCCCACAGGAAGTGGACCTGACCGGGCCCCGACGGTTCGACAAAAATTAGATTGACTTTGTTATGACGACCACACGCCAACTGTTCAGTGATGTCTCAGTGATTGCAAGGGTGAAAACTGGCAGCGATCACCGAATGGTTAGAGGTCACACTGAACCTAAACGTTCAGTTGGAGAGGTCACGTCTAATGAAGTCAACGCTCCGTCCCCCCTCGTGCTCTAATCCAGAATCCCGAAAACTTTCAGCTCGAGTTACGTAACCGCTTTCAGTGCCTACAAGATTGCAATGCAGTGGACGATATGAATGACAAGCTCGTGGAGACTGTCCATGCGGTGGGAGCTAAGTTCTGCAAGACCCCCCGCAGAAGAACACAAAAACTCTCCGATCACACTCTTAATCTCATGGCTGTTATACGGGAGATGAGGCTGCAATCGTCAACAGATTTGACAGCATACAGACAACTGAACAGACAGATCTCCAAATGCATGCGGCGAGACTTAATAATATAATATAGCCTTCTTTATTTCCATAATGAATGACTTAAAAGGAACAATAGTTTCTTAAGATTACGATTTACATAATTTTTGCATGCATATAACAAAATAATACAATTCATAATTATTAGAATTAATAATTTACAATCGAATAATTTTTAAATTTTATATAAATTTCAAAATATTAAATAAAATAAATTTTCAGATCAGTTTACGTACAAAATTCATAACGTAATTCATTACGGATCCCTCAACGGGTGAAGGCCTCCTCCATTTTTTTCCACGTCTGTCTTCGTGATCCAATTTTCACCGGCTTTTCTTATTATTTCGTCAACCCATTTTTCTCTCGGTCTACCTCTGTTCCTTTTGTTTGATGGTCCTTGCCAGTTAGTTACTCTCTGTGTCCATTTTTCTTTGTTCATACTGCAATATGACCCGCTCATTTCCATTTTTGTTTTTGGGAATGTTCCAAAGCATCTATTATTTTTGTTGTATTTCTTACGTCTCTGTGTTTTCTTTGTATATTTAGTATACTCCTTTCCATTGCTCTTTGACATACTTGTATTTTATTTTTAGTTTTATTATTGTATATCCACGTTTGGCAGCCATACGTAAGGCAGGGTAGTAAACATGTATCCATTATTTTTTTCTTCAGTTTTATAGGGAGTTTTGATTTTAGGGTTTCTTTATTGCTCCAGAATTTATTACAGGTTATGTTAACTCGTCTTTTAACCTCATCTTCGTGTCTTGTCTTAGAGAAAGATACTTGCTGTCCCAGGTAAACATAGCTTTGAACGTATTCTAATGTATTGTTATTGACCCTTATTGGTATAATATGGTGGTTCGTCATGACTTTAGTCTTGGTAGCATTTAGTTCTAAGCCAATCGTATTGCTTACATCATTTAGTTCATTAATCATTTTCTGTAATTGAGATACTGTTTCGGAAAAGAGTATGATGTCATCCGCAAATAGAAGATTACTGAGGAGTTTGCTATTTATATTTATTCCTGTCTTTTCCCAGTTCAGAGTTTTCATTATATTTTGTAGCACAGTTATAAAAATTCTAGGTGACAGGGGGTCACCCTGTCTGACGCCTCTACAAATGTTTATTTCAGGGCCATGTCTCTCTAACTTTAAACGACTTTTGCTTTTGTAGTAGATGTCTTTTATAAGATCTATAGTCTCCGATGATACTTCGCACTCATTTAGAGCTTTCCACATGCTCGTATGTGATATAGAGTCGAAGGCTTTTGCATAGTCGATAAATGCCAGGTAGAATGGTCTATTGTGCTCTATATATTTCTCTATAATCAAATTTAAAGTGTGGATG